GATTTTTGTCTGTTTATAATCGTCTAAATACAAGTATAATAATAAAGTGAGAGAGGGAATTTCCTAACAACAACAAGAAACAAAGAAAGAGAATTATAATTAAATATGTCAAACATCGGATTATTCTACCACATTATTGTGGGTGATTGGTCGGGCTGTTTTTTGTGTTTTTGTTTAATCTTCATTCAGTTGAAACAAACGATACAATATGACTTATATACTAAACCACTAAACCAAGAGTGAACCAAACATAACATTAACCATCATAAACCAAAGACTAAACCATATGTATTCCATCTTGGACATAATAACTCCATGTGCTTGTGAACTCCATGTGAATTTGAGATCCTCAAGAAGAGAATTGGAGAGTTGTAGAACTATGAAGAACTGAAATTTGATCTTCTGGTGGTCTTGGAGAAGCACCATATGGGAAGTCAACCAACAAATTCAAATGACCAGAATGAACCACCATCATATGACCAATAAAACCATATTCTCGGCTCTGTTCTTGGAGTAGAATTTGATAATTAGAGAAGAATCTAATGCTGTCCAAATCATCTTGATCTTCTGCATCACCTTGGCCATGAAGTTGAGCTTGTAAACGTGATTGCGTAACTGAAGATAAGAAAAATGGCAAAGGCAGTGCCTCAAGGAACAATAGGTAGCAAGGAAGATGGAAGAACTGTTTCAATTCAGTTCCAGCAATAGCCACAAGAAGAACTTGCACTTGTTCTTCAACAACAACATCAATGGGAGAAAACACAGCTGGATTTGGCTTGCTAATTTAGGAAACAAACAGAGCAACACCATGCCTCACTGTCGTCTTTTTCCTAACTCCATTATACCAAATCAGAAATGAACTCGTAACAGTGAGGAAGGGAAAACTCCTCTCCATTTTCCTCATAAGTGAAAACGTAAGAACTGATCTGGACTGAGGAAAAATCGGCCAACAAGAAGCAGCAGTTGTCAAATGACATTTCCATTTGATGAAACAAGCTATGAAGCAGGTTGTTGTGTATCAGCCAACATCATACCAACTTCATAAATCAGGGAGGCTAAATGCAGAGACACATAGCAATAGATTTCATGGAGGTCTAAACATCGTTTAGAAACATCACACTCATACTTCTGTGTAAGATCTGCTAACGAATGCTCCCCCTGACTAAAAGCACATCTACTAGCCAACGATCTCCAGAACGCAACATCAACCATATTCAATTTACGGAAGCTACATTCTGAAAGAGCAAGAGGAGAGAGCGCGTACATAAACATCTGGTGGAGCGGAAGAGATCCATAGATGAGCATAAGCTGTGACTATAAATCCAACCAAGAACTTTCTCCACACAGCTTATCATCGACAAGAGTCGCTCCAGGTGGAGCAATGAACTCAACAAAACCAGGAAGCGATGAATTTTAAATCCATCAAAGCAGTAATCATGGATCAAGTTCAATCGATATCAACACATGTGATAAATGGAATCAACAGAAATTGCTGCAAAACAAACTCAACGGAAGAGCTGATACATATAACAGAGAAATATGTAAAAAGC